ATGGCTTCATTGGAAATCATCATGCGCTTAGGAAATTGACTACTCGTTATGCAAGTTCTTGGCTGCTGGGGTGAGATGTGCTTTGCTTAGCTTTGTGCTTACAGAGGCTATTGGCGTTGTCAAAAGGGAGGTTCCAACAGCTAATTTAAGAATTTAAGCCTCCTTTGTGAACAATAGTGTTATGATTTGGCTATCCTATTCCCAAATCTTTTACTTCCTGGTCTTGACAGGAGGCAAAAACTAATAAATATATTGATAATACGCTGTTTTTTGCTTAATTGCTTATTTTTAAATTCAGAATAAAATAAGAGCTGTAGCTTAGCTATTGTTCCTATATCTTTTTGTTTAAAAGTAAGGTGAAGATCAGGTTATATTTTGGGTTTGAAAACTGAACCACTGTTGTGATTTGTGACAAGATTGTTGTGAAGACTGAGATGACTGATTTGGAAGCTATAAATAAATTATATTTATATTCAAATCTTAGATTGGTTTGCCATTTTTAAAAAAATATTTATTTATCTATACAAGCACTGGGTACAGTCAGAAGCACGGGAGGGTGAGAGAATTCACCAGAGCCAGAGCGGGGAACAGAACAGGCAGACCGACGAAATACACTGCTGAGGGGAGCGGACCCTCGCCGGTGGCTGGGGATCGAACCTGCGCTACAGAGGCTGCGGGCAGCTTCTCAGCCCAGCGCTCAACCACTGCGCCACCAGGGGAGGCCCGGTTTGCCATATTTTTATATAAAGAATAAAATTGAAGTTTTCTGTGACTATAAAAAATGAAGCTAATTTCACGTGACTTGTGGAAACAAATTTTTGATTTTACATTTTAAAAAATTTATATTTTTATTGAGGCAGCATTAGTTTACAACACTGTATGTTTTAAAAGTATAGGGTTACACCTCTTCAAAAACATATTATCATACCATGTTCCCCATCAAAGCACCAATAATCCTCCACCATAATCCATTGAGCTTTCTCTACCGCCCTCCACCTCGGGTAGCCTCAGTTCTGCAGTCAAATTAAAGGGTTTGTTTTAGTAGGGTATGGTTTGTTCCTTTGTTTTATATTCATAAAACATGTGATGAAATCATCCAGTATTTGTCTTTTCCCTTCTAATTTGTTTCACCTAGCAGACTCTTCTATTCCATTTGTCTTGTCACAAATGGCAATACCTCATCTTTTTTAAGCTAAAGCTTAATAGTGTTCCATTGTGTGTATATGTGCCACATCTTCATTATCTTCATTATGTGCCACATCTTAAGTTTAATTGGGCACTTAAATTGTGGAAACAATTCTTTATTTCAAAATTGTCATATGGTGTGGGAAATTCTGTATTAAGTTCAAATTATTGGTCTAGTCACGGCAGGTAATAGGAAGATGTGGAAGGTACCTACTGATGCATAAGCCTCTGCTGATGTAGTTCGGCTAATAAGGGAGGCACACAACTATTGTATAACCTAACAGTAATCTTCCACTGACAACTGTTTAGCCAAGTCGTGCAATTTATTTCTTCGAGATGGTTTCCTCATTTGTAAAATGAAGACATCGGAATTGGATTTCTAAAATGTTTGCCAGTGTTAATATGATAAAGCTAATTGGTTCAATTATATTATAATGATTTTAATTATGAAAACTGATTCAGCTTAATTTTGCATCTCAGAATTTTTATCTTTGGAGAATAGAGTCATTTTTAAGCTGTAATTTAGAAAGTAATTTTGCTTTTTCCACAGGAGTTGAAACAGCTCAAATCTTGTGCTAATAGTTCTTTTACTTGGGCATTTCTTTTAGTCATATTTATCAGTTTTTAACCTTGAAAATCATCATAAAAACACATATTTTGGAAAATTTTTTCATTCAAGAGGAGCTGCCCTATCATATTCCCAAATCTGAATAAGTAGGGAATTTGTTCTTTCTCAAACAAAATATTCTCTGTAAAAGATCTCTCTTTTCTCAAATGACTCTCTTAAAAAGGAAACTTGATCATTCTGTTTTGTTCTGTTTAATCATGCTACTGAAAGACAACTGAGAGATTAACCCTTTGGTTGAGAATGATTTGTTCCAACCTTTTCTCTTTCTAATTTTACTTATTAACTGTTTGCTTTTGTTTTAGTGTATATCATTTCCAAGATAGTTACTTTGAAAATACTGGAAACTTTATTGCAGTTATAGAAACAGAAAGAGTCATTGCTTCCTGGTTCAGGTGAGACTAAGTCAATGAATATAAGTCTAGCACATGGTGGAAAATTTCAGTACTATTTTGAAAGCAGGAGAGGAATGAAATTGTCCGTGAAGACAAGATAGCTAATTTTAACTTCGGCACAACTCCTGAGGGAAGATTGGTCAACCCTTTCTTTTTTTTTTTTCTTTTTTAAGATTTATTTAGTTATTTATACAAGCTCTGGGACCCTCGCCCGGTGGCCAGGGATTGAACTGGCACTGCAGAAGCTGTGGGCAGCTTCGCAACCCAGTGCTCAACCGCTGCACCACCCGGGAGGCCCAGTCAACCCTTTCTTGTTCATGATTTTATCTTCAGGATAGTAAGTTGAAGCTATATTTGTCTTTGGTGATTGAACTTGATCTTCCAACTAATCCAGTAACTGATCAATTTAAATTCAAATTCCTTTTGATATTCAAATCCCGATACAATAATTCTTTACTCATATCTACAAAAGTAGAAAATACTTCAGGAAATGTATTTATTATAGGAACTCTCCTTAAATATATCTTATGAATATATGTTGCAATTTTTTGGATAGCTTTGTTCATCAATTTGGAATTTTCTACAATTACACACTCAAGTATATTTAATAGGCATGTGAAAGTTGAACAGTTGATTTGTTCTTTATTTTCCTATTACTGCTTGTAATATGTTCTTTATTTCCCTATCACTGTTTGTAAGCTACCGATGTGTAAATTCAAAATATTTAGACTGTAGTAGAATTTTATAGCCATTAGAAATGTTTTTGCATTACAATGACATGGGAAAAAAGCTTGAAAGACAATGGTGACATGAACTTTCGCATAATGGGAGACTTAAGCTTTGAAAGCAAAATTCAGGCCACATATCTATAACATATAATTATTAGTAGATATATTAAAAAGAACCCTACCCTTTATAAAGTCTGCCAAATTATTAAATCTTAATAGGAGTCTTAAAAATCATATCCCTTGACAGTAATGATTTTTATTTCCAGGAAGTTTTTCAAAGAAAATAAGTAGGTCATCAAAGATTGAAAAGAGACCTAGTGTAGTATTATTCATAAAGGAGGAAAACTAGAAACATTGTAGTAGTGATATAATTTGTTCTACTATGCATTTATTTTAAAAATAAAATGCTTTGACAATGGAAACATTCACTTTGTTAGGTTTTTAATCAGGGTTTTAAAACTCATCTTTTATGTGTTTTGAAAGAGGGAACTCGGGTAGTAAAAGTTCCATGAAGTAAATCTAATGACTGTTCATACAGACAAATCACGTCTGTGATCTATGTGAATGCTTCTGATTCTTGTGCTCCCATTTGCTTATGCCACAGCCTCTTAAATGAATAATGCCTTCATGGAAGCAGAAGGGTCTAGCATATTTAATGCCTTTTGAAATTATCTGCTATATACAGAGATCTAAAAAAATGAGTAAAGGGCCTCCCCGGTGGCACAGCGGTTGAGCGCTGGGTTGCGAAGCTGCCCGCAGCCTCTGCAGCGCCGGTTCGATCCCCGGCTGTTCCCCAGCCACCGAAGGAGGGTCCCACATGGCGCGCAGACCTCTCCTGCCGCCCGCTGCTTCCCTCAGCAGTGTACTTCGGTCCTTCTGCCTGCTCAGCTCCCCACTCTGGCTCTGGTGAATTCTTTCACCCTCCCACTCTTCTGACTGTACCCAGTGCTTGTATAAATAAATAAACAAATAAATAAATAAATAAATCTTTAAAAAAAAAAAAAAAAAATGAGTAAATATATCCCTTGATTTAAACAGTTCGCTTGAACATGTTTTCTACCAAGAATTAAAAATATAAATTTGTGTTTCAAAAAAACTTTTGTTAAAATACTGTCCAAAACAACAACTATTATTTCAGTGATTCCTTCATTAACTAAAGAGCATTGTCGGGGAAAAGTTACTAATTTATATTTTCTATTGGTGTATAAATCACAGTTCATATTTTAGGATTCGGAATCTCTTTGAGAGTACGTGCCCGTATGCATGTGTGCATGTGGGCTGTTGAGGTAAACACTGTGCCTTTCTTTCCCACGGTGAGAACTGGTTTCAGGATGCACACACTGAACACTGCTGGGGAAGATACTGATCCTTTCAGTTCTTCCATCACTCTTTTTCTCTTGATTCTGTACAGGTCACCAAAGTTTGAATTCAGAGAAAAGATGGCAAAATAGAAAACTGAGATAGTCTCTTAATTCAGAAATTTGTTATTGTGGCAATTTTTAAAAAAAATGCATATTCCATTTCTTCAAAACAGAACCATGGCACCTGATTGACATTAAATGCCAGACATTAGATTGTTGGTTAAAGTGAATGTAAGTATGTATGACTCTGTGATCTATTAGCAGTCCTGACTTGAATGTTTTGGGTTTTCTTAAGCATTTCAGTTTGACCAAAAGTGTAATATTTTAGCTATTTGCAAAAGTCCATGGATTTAAATGCTTGCATGGGTTATTTTTAATGATTTTTAACTATAGTACAGTAGTTTTTAGTGTATTTACAGCATTGTGTAACCAACCATCACCATAATCCTTACAATAGTTTTGATTACCCTCAAAAGAAATCCCATCCCAATTGGCAGTCACTCTTCATTCTATTCCCTTTCACACTTTTTCAGCCCTGGAGAACCACTAATCTACTTTCTATCTATGCATTTGCCTATTCTGGACTTTTCATGTAAACAGTGTCTTATTATTTAATCCTTTGATAGGCTTCTTTCACTTAGTGTCATATTGTTAAGTTGTAACATTGTATCCATGCTGTTTCAGGTATCAATGCTCCATTCCTGGTATTGGTGAAGAATATGCCCTTGTGCAGAATGCTTCTATTAAAGTGATGTATATTTGTACTACACTTGAGCTTAGCCAAAGGCTGAGAAGCAATAAAAATGATGTACGTTTGTGTATACATTTTTGTTTGGACATTTATTTTCATTTCTTTTGGGTAAATACTGAAGAGTATAGTTGTTTTGTCATACATTTGAAAAGAACTACCAATAGAGTACTACTTTAACTATTAAGAATGAACTTTTGGGCCTCCCTGCTGGTGCAAGGGGTTAAGCACCACACTATGAAGCAATCCGCAGCCTTTGCAGCAAAAGTTCGATCCCCAGCCAGCCAGGGAGCTACCCACATGGCGTAGCAGACCTCTCCTGTCTCACCCACTGCTCCCCTCAGCAATGTATTTCAGTCAGTTTGCCTGTTAAGCTCCCCACTCTGTCTCTGGTGAATCCTCTCAACTCACCCCCACCCCGCCCTTGCACCTCTGGCCTGTACCCTAGTTCTTATATGCATAAATAAATCTTTCAAAAAAAAATCACTAGAAGGGAGGCGATATCTCAGAAGTGAAGTCATTTGTTGGAGCAATTTTATTTTATTTTCCCTGGCCAGGGATTGAACTCATGCTGCAGATAGCTTCACAGTGCTATGTCTAAACCCTTGTGCCACCAGGGAGGCCCCTGTAGGAGCAATTTTAGCAGTGTTTCTTTTCTATTCTGTCCCATTCTCTCAAATGCAAAAATATCTTTGAAAAGGGATGATACATTAGTGATATCTTAATTACCCTTATCCATAAGTGTAGGTTCTAAATATTAAAGTGGTTAAAATTAATCAGGGGTGACATTAATTTCCTAATATTTATTTGAGTAAAACATTTTATGTCTTCCAGAAAACAACAAATCATTTCAATGACAAAGCACCTTCAACTAAGAAACTTTCAACTATGCTGAAAAATTTAGGAGATAGATTTTCCTTCTCATTTGAAAGGATTTAAAGAAGAAATAAAATGGCAGAGGTTTAAAGTTAATGTTCAGGATGAATGATGACAATTCACATGACAAGACAGAAGATGAACTGCAATCCTTGTTTATCAGTGATAAAAATGGGAACACATATGCATACAACCAGAAATCACCACAAAAGTCTTCCATCAATACTATGAATTGGAATTCTGAAAACACAGATGACATGGTGGTTGATTATGAAAGCAACTCTGCCGTGGACATTGGTCAAAATATTTCTTTAAAACCTCAGTGTGTTGAGGCACTTAGTCACCAAAAATCTTCAAGTGATTTCACTGGTAAGGAGGTATTAGACAGCCCGAAGGATTCTGAACATTGTTCTTTTGCACATGGTGTAAATACTAAGGATCCCAAGTACCTGTGTGGCAACTCTGATTCCCTAGAAATATTTCAGGACCGGAGTGTTGAGACATCTATGCCTTTTATGTGGAAACCAAACAATGACTTCAGCTGTACAGACTACCCGACTGCCTTGGAGCTAAACCAGACCTTTGATATGAGAGTGGATAAAGTAAACTGCACCTTTATCACATGTCATGATGGTGGAAAGAGTTCTTCTTTGCACACCTCTGGAAGTCTACAGCCAACTGATGTAACAAGTGGAAAAGCATCTTTATCCTGTTCCACTTGTACAACTTCCCATTTTGATAAGATGCATGTGAGAGAAATGAGTAGTGACAGGGGCAGCTTTGAAAACCCTCAAACCACAGCATCAGCGGCCCAAGATACAACTTACACAGCATTTTCTGATGTGGTGATGCAAACTGATGTTGTTGTTCCAGATATTGGAAGTCAGTGTCAATATTCTTCAGGAAAGGTTACCAGTGAATTCACAGACGGGTCACAGCAAAGACTAGTTGAAGAACAAGAGATACAAAGTCTAACACCAGTTTCTGATGGCATGGAGGTTCCCAGTGGGTCTGTATTACAAGAGTTCTTTTGTTTATCTGAAGATGAACCAAATAGTGAGACACATTCACCCAGCTCATATGGGCAAAAGGAAATGGGCCAAAATCTAAGAGAAACAGTGTCCAATTGTATTATCGATGATGAATGCCCTCTGCTGGTGCCAACTTTTGATAAAAGTGATGCCCAAGTGCTGGACCCAGAGCATAAAGTCACTGTGGCTGAAGACGCACATATTGCCTCCAATGAAAAGATTTTGGGAACCCAAAATCGTACCATGGAACTGATGATAAGTAGCCCACCAAGACAAAAAATGGCTTCATCATTTGAAATGACTTGGGATACAAATGATATGGTTATTAACACAAATAACACAGTTTGCATGTCAACGCCAATTCTAGAACCCATACATACCACCTTTTCTATATCACCTATTGCAGCACCAGAGAAATGTAATAAGTTAGACAGGAACAGTCAAGATCTCAGAAATTTACCAAGCCTGAAGAAGACCTCTCTAAATGTAACTAAACCTAGTCTAGGAAAATCAACAACCAAAACAAATACCCCTGTAGGCAGTAAAGTTAGAAAAACTGAAATTATAAGCTACCCAAGACCAAACTTCAAAAATGTCAAAGCAAAAGTTATATCTAGACCAATATTGCAGCCCAAAGACCCTGCTTTATCAAAGGTCATAACTAGACCCCAGTTAACCAGGGCCTCATCATCCTCACCAGTGTCCTCAAGACAGTTGACAGTTTTGAGCAAACCACCAAGATCTGACTTGCATGCAGACACAAAAGCAGAAATCTTAATTAACAAGACACACAAGCAACAATTTAATAAACTCATTACTAGCCAGGCTGTACATGTTACAACTCATTCTAAAAATGCTTCACACAAGTTTCCAAGAACAACATCTGCCATGAAATCAAATCAGGAAAATGTTGACAGAGCAAGTTCTTCTAATTCGGCATGTGAGACTGGGTCTGTGGCTACGTTTTTCCAGATCAAAGGCATACTCCCTGTTAAGATGGAAAGCACAGAGTGTCTGAAAATGACATATGTTTCCAACATCGATGGGATTAGCCCTGAAAAGAAGGGTGAAAAAGAAAATGGGACACCTGTGGAAAAACAAGAACTTAAAAAGGAAATTTTGAATGAGACCTTTGAGTATGGTTCTGTGTTTTCGGTAAGTGAAATTTTCACCTCTTCAGGGGATGGTGAAGGAAACTGAGAAGGAAACAATACTAGTAATTGATTATCCATAAATTGTCTGTATACTATTGCAGAGCTAGAAGTGCACTTTTACTTTCAGGTGGTAGGTAACATGCCATCCAGGTCATATACAATTCAGTAATTCTTTGTCGTCAGTCAGTACATTTAGAGTGTTAATTGGTTACAATATAGGAACCTTCAGTATAAGAAAACATCCTCAAGTTCAGTATATTGTATTGAATATTACTTCTTTTAATAGTATGCAAAAAGGATAAGATACTTTAATATTTAATGTAGTTATTTAAAATTATGTAACTGATTATATTTTATAGTTCTGGAAAAAAATAGAAACTTTAAAATGTGTTGGAGCACAAAATTAGAAATGACCAGGGGGTGCTCGTAAACAAGTCAACATAAAAATAACTCTTGTCTGTTCTGGAGAAAGTAGCTCTGGAAAGTGGCGCCTTCTCCTGCTGACAGCAGTTTTCTGGATTCTGTCCCTGATCAGCTAATGTGACTTAGGGCAAGTCATCTTTGAAACCCAAAGATGAAATGATTGTACTAATAAATGTCAGAGGTCTCTTGCAACCCTGATATATTCCTGGACATAAAATAAACAAAACTTGTTTTACTTATGTATAGTGGAAAAGCTGTCTGTTTTCTATATCATCTGTCAGATATTGGGGGGTGGGGTTATATGAGGGAATTACCTTTACTTCAAAAATTAGCATGAGGAAGCTAGTTTTGGTAATAGCATGAGGAAGCTAGTTTTCTGAGTTTTAAAAACATTTGGCAAGCGACTGTGGAGCCGTATGTACTTGTCCTTGGCTATGTTTTTGGCCGTGGGGACTCGCATGTATTTTGAGCCCCACATGGGTTTTTCTTGGGCACATGAAAGGGTCCTCTGGGCCAAGATTGAGCAGATGTGAAGGCATATGTGAGACATCTGTGTGGAAGGCTCATGTGTGAAAGGAATGAAACACAGAAGTGGAGTCAAGTGCTAAATGCTGTTCTGACTTATTAGACTGCCTAGGGAATGCTTAAGGAATCGATGGTATTCTTGCACTAGATCTGTTTAGAGATGTTTTGGTTTTTATGATCAGTCTATAAGGAAGACCTCACCACATTAGCCAAACTAATGAGACTGCCCAATATTTCAGAAATTAACTGCTTTAAGTTTTTTTATAAAGCTTTTTTTTGGTCAAAACTTAAGGGAACTCATTTTATATCATTTATAATTATTTTGCTAAAAAATACTGTAACCTCTGATAATTCTAATCAGCATTCTTAGTTTGATGTTTTATAGATATTTTTAAAAAAACTAGTCTTCATTGATTCTTGGGAGTTATTGTTTGTTGGTCTCCAATTACTAGAAAAACTAGCAAAAAGCTTCTTTAAAGAGCATTTTCCTCAAATAGAATTTGTTGTATAATTTTGAAAGTAAAAGTTTGTCTGATGTGTACATTGACTAAGTCAGCTTTATATTTCCTGTGTGCAGAGTGAAAGTGCATGTTTTAGGTTCATATGATTCTGAAGTAAGAATATGGAATCATCATGTTGAAATGGATTCCAATACATCTTGGAGAAAGAAACACTTTTTTCACCTTAGGAATTTTGAAGTTAGAATTCCTGTATTTTTGGCCCTGGTCCCTTTATCAACTATATAAACTCATTTTTCCATGTTGGTGTTGTAAGCATTATTAGTTCTTAGTATCACTCTTCACATCTGACACATTTACATGTATGACGGGGAAGGGGCTGGGCAGATCATCCCAGGCCATGGGCTTTGTGCTTGTAGGGAGCTAAATGAGTGAACATTTGTTTTACTCTAACTCCAGTGTTTGTTGGCCACTTCAGCTATACCCAAAGGTTATAAATCTGTCCCGGATTTATGAGGAGATAGTCCTGGAGGGATATTAATTTTCAATGTGCTCTGTTGGTCTTGGGCTAAACTAGGCATTGAGTTAGTTTGCCTACAACCTCACAGATGTTTGGTCTGGGTTTATCTGAAACTTCAGGAAGGTTCTTAGTTGGAGGAAGGAATTTAACTTTAGTTTGATATAGGTGGTTTGTAGCAATCCATCACAGGTTATATATTGGTGAAAGTATGTTACATAAAGGGAGTTGTGAATTATCTAAAAGCAAAAGAAATGGTATTTGATGCCTGTTCTCTACTAAATACTTGCTCAGATGTCTTACATAGAATTTATCCTCATTTTCTCAGTGATGGTCAGGTGCTTTCCATATATTCTCACTTACTCCTCCCAGTAACAACAGGGCAGTTGTTAACCACATCTTAAAGCTTCTGGAAGTTTACTTAAAACTCACATAGCTGGTAAATAGTAAATTTCAGATTCAAATTCAAGTCCCTCAACTTGAATTCTGTCCCTTTTCTGCTATACCACAGGGTTTCAACATTTTGTGGAATGTGGACTCTGAAAGGTAGAGTGAATCTGATTTGCTGAGGCCTGATTCACTATTGAAAGTTGATTAAAAATTTGGTTTACTTTTTAAAAGATTTTTTTTTTTTTAGTTCATGTACAATCACCTACTTTCCTTAGCCAATTCTATGTTGTTCTCCGGAGATATTGCCCTATTGAGCTCGTGTTGAATTCACCTAGTGTTGAATATGACTGCCATCGGTATGGGGCTTCACATATCTCTATTTGAAATTGTCCATATATGACTTACTGAACAGAGAATGATTTTTGAGGAATATGCAGCTTAGAAGGTAAGAGGTTGAATTTTGAAGCTAGAAGTGGTTTCAGAGTATAGCTCCATCATTCACTGAGTTTCCTAGGGTAAGTCATTTGGTTTCTATGAAGCTCAATTCTTCTTGATATAAAGGAAGAATACAACTTATAGCTTACAGTGTTGGAATTTGTGCTTTGAGTAAGGCCCACACTCTCATTTCCTAAGTGTTTCTTGGGTACTCACTATCTGCTATATATGACAGTGGTTGTTGGGATATAGAGAAGAAATACACAGCCGCTGGTCAGACCTGGTGTCTAGTGTAGTGGTACTATCAGAAGTTAAGCGAAAGTGGGGGAGTTTCTAAATACTACTTTGGCAGCACACAGGGAGTATTTTTAGACTTGTGCTATAGGAGGCAGAATGGAGTGATAGTGATAAGAGGAGATATTAGTCACTATCTGGAAATTACAGGACAAGTATGCACTGGAAGGGTATTCTGGGTAGAGGAAATAATATATACAAAGATGAAAAAACATGAGAAGATATTATTTAAGAGATCCCAGGTGCTGTGTGTGAGGTGAGCCAGGATGTGGGACCAAAAGCAGTGAGGAATAAGCTGAATAGGTTAGCAAGGGGTGTCTTCCAAGATGACTTGTTGTGCCTCACTTTATATGACAGACAGAGGGAAGCAGCCTAATTCATTTTTAACTTTACAAAGAAGAGTTGACTTTATATGGCAGACAGAGGGAAGCAGCCTAACCCATTTTTAACTTGCCTTAGCAGTGAGTTGGAAGATTAATTGGAGAGACTGGTGAAACCAGAAAGGACAGGTTTCAGTCCAGAGGATATGATTTCAGTAATTCTGGCAAGAAATGATGCAGCCCTGTGTTACCGCAGATAAAGAGGCAAGAGAATGAAATCACGAGGGGTTTAGTTGGTAAGAAAGGAGGCATCTAGAAATAACTTTGGTTGTTTAAGTTGGACAACACAGGGTGTGTTGTGGTAAATATGGGAAGAGATGAGTTTTGAGGTGGGCGGGTAGAATTTGTTTAATTTTAGATACTGCTTTGTGCTCTTCTGTGAAAGTATCAACCTCAGAAGTTTATTTTGAGAAATCATGAGTTGATACCTATGATATTTTTCATGGTATAAGAGCCATATGCTGATCACAGTGTGTAGGGGGTGGCTGAAACAGCGGATATGATCATCTAGGGAGCTATAAAATAGAAGATGAGGAAGAGGGTCCAGTTTAGGAAGCTCACAATAACTAGCATATGAAGGTAGGGAAGACCAGGATCCAGACAAGGAATAATCAGGTAGGAAGAAGGAAGGCCAGGAAAGAGCTCTGTCAGAGAAAACAAATATGGTTATTCTCCTTGGATGCCATAGAGAAGGGCCTATAGGGAGAGCACATGGGCTGTGCCTTGAATCTGATCAGTGGTGCTGGTCATCTTGGGAACAGTTTCATTGGTAGGAGCAAGAGGCATTTCATGAGTTTCAATTTCTTCATAGTAAAAATGAAAATCAAATATCCATCAGGCATATTTCCACTTAGAAATTGCTTCTTTCACATGGGTAACACTTCAGGAAAATATTGTGGGAAGGTATGGTCTGCAGTAAAATTCTGTTATTTTTAAATTATTTTTTAATTATAAGCTTTTTTTTTTTTTTAAATTGAAGCAACATTGGTTTACAACACTGTATGTGATTCAGAGGCGTAGGGTCACACCCATCACCACACTGTGCCCTCAGCCCTCTGACATAGTTCATTCTTTCCCACAGATAACAACACTTCAGGGGAGGGTGTGGGGAATATGACAGCTGGAGTAAAATCTTAACTATTTTTTCACAGGGTTCTGGTTCAAAAACTTCAGCCACCTTGGGTAGGAGTATATCCAAGCCTGATTCCTCCAGTTTGAGAAAAACAACGGGTCCAAAAGCCAAAGTGGGGCCTTCTGTTTCCTGTTTGAGGCGAAATAGCGGCAGTCGAACTCTCAGTTCTGATGGAGCCTTGTCTCCTCAGAGAATCAGACGTGTGTCCACATCTGGTAAGAATAAAATAATTCAGCTGTTCCTTACAGCAGTTTTTGAATTATTCATACATAATAATTAGGAATGTCAAAAAATAGTAAGTTTTTGCATATAGAACTAAACTAACACATTCTGTCACTAAACCATTTAGCTTTTCATTAACCTTGACTAGCATCTTGAACAGGGAAGGTAGAAAAAGAAGTCGAAGACACAGCCTTTATGTTTGACCAATGTAAAGTTTAGTTGGGGGAAAATATGCACGCATAAACCAACTTGTAAGTATATCAGAAGGATGTGTATATGGACAATTGTGTACCTTTTATATATGAGTCATTTCATCTTCAAATTTTTTACAAATGGTTAAGTGCTTAATGATGTGTTATATACTAGACTCATAATATGTTATGACCACATGTGAAGAGATTAGTTTTTTCCTTGAATTTTACTGAGAGATGTATTATAAATTTTCAGGGACATGAGGTTGATTAAACTTTTCTGATGTGAACTTCTATTTATGTTGCTTTGTATTTTAGAAATTGTTGTTTTAAATTCATGTTAGGTTTATAAAGTTCTAGAGCTTCAAGAGTAGCTAGTAAGTATCTTAGTGAATTTGGCAGATGTACAGTTTTCTTTGTTACAAATAAGAACACAAAATGGAAAAGCCAATATATTTCATCATAGGAACTCAAAGAGCCTGCTAACCATTGCAGCTGATGAAGAGCACTCTGTGGGGAACGCCACTTATTTTATTTTTTTGTATTGGGCAACTTGAAATTTATTTTCACACATCTCATTTAACATATATATATATATATATATATATATATATCAATTATATTAGGTAGATTTTTTTTTCACCCAGAAATAATGTTTTATTTGGGTTTATCTGAACTCAAACAGGTATAACCTTGAGCAAATTAAGGCATGTCAGATAGATTTAGAAGTTCCCTTATAAAAATAATGACTGCTATTGAATGATCTGAAGAAGTGCCTCTACAGTTTTGTCCACACATGTGGGAACATTTTATAAAAATTAACAAAACTGACCAATTCCCAGAGGATCTCTTTTATTTCTCTACATGTTAGTTGTTTGGGGTTTTATTTTTCAGTCCTCTTCTGAAGTCTCCTTTGTGAGAAACTTATAGCTCAAGGGGTATTTTAAGAGTTGTTTATTTAGATGCAGGCCCAACTTCAAGGTCTTGAGGTTCTGAGGAGCAGTTCTATGAAGAGGGATGGATGGAGGAAGAGAGATTGGCAGCACATGTCCATTCCCATCCCCAGAGAAGCTGAGTGGGAAAGAGGACCCCATCAGTTTGAAGTGTTCATCATGTTGAGGAAAAACAGTGCCATAATCGGGGAGCTGAGGCATGAGTTAGATCAAAACTTTGATTCTTGCTGTTCTTTCTGCCAGATTGGGTGCATGGTATTTACCAGATGATAGTGTGAGCCCTTCTTATTGGATGTTAGCAGCACCTGCGTCTTGGGGTCATGTAGAGCTGTGGTCACTGGCAACTTGGTCTGTACTTAGGAACTCTGTGTTCTAGAACTGCTCTGGCACCATTGAACTTTCTGAGCAAATGTTTACTCACCTTGGGCTTCTGTGAAGTGTGAGGGTTTCATTAGTTTTTACAGTCTTTATCTTTCTAGGGAGCTCACCTGATTTTCTGAATAGTGTCACCTTCATATGATTCTCTAGACCACAAAATGCTTACACCCCAGAGAACCTTGAAGTGCACATACTTTTAAGAAATTATGCTGTTTCCCAGGATGAATTTTTATTTTATATATAAGTCACCCGTGCACCATCACCATAGTCCCTTGTGCTCTTCCCACCAGGATGTATTTTAAAAGATGGGATTATTTTTTTCTGCATGATCAGTTCCAACAGAGTCAAACAGTTTATGTCCCTTTACTTTATGTTACATAATGTTAAGCCTTAAAGAGTGAAGAGGTCTATTTAATGAAAAGTTAATAAAAGTTATCAAGCTTTTTATTAATCTGTACAAAACAGCTTGAACACTAAATTATGTATTTAGAGATTTCAATCTAAGTAAAAAACTAAATTATATTTCATGTGGTGATTTTCCACATGTAAATGGAAAAAATTTTTGTAACCAGGGATATTATGGATTTGTATTTGAGCTTTATATTTTAGTGGTTGGAAGACTGACTTGATTGTGCTATATTATGTTTAAAAAAAAATAATATCAACTAACTTGTTTGGATGCTCACAGTAAATTGAGACATGTTTGTGTGGAGGCCAGGAAATTTAATCATCAGAGAATTAAAAGTAGAACAGAAAATCAAGTAGCAAAAACAATATGCCTTTAGATCTTTGAGAGCATGTTGCCATTTATTGTACAATGAAGTGATTGTGTATCAGAAAATTGAAACCAAATGGATATCCTCTGCAGGCAAACAAAGTTACCCTACTGAAAGGTAAGCAGCAGGAATATTCTAGCTGCCTTGGGGTTTTCAATAAATCCTTTCAGAGAATTAAGTAGAAAACCAGACCTGGAGTTAAAACAGCCATTTTCTTGAAACTTTAAGGTATGAGAAATCCAATGGAACTATTTTCATTTTACTTCATCAAAATCTGGAAAGTTATATGAAACCAGGTTATAAGTGATTATAATAAACCAGATTCACAGTATCATGACTTCCTTGGAGTATGTGTGTATGTTAATGCACTCAATTAAATGAAATAGGAAAACTAATAATAATTCTAATGCTAATGATAGCAGCTTACACTTACTAGATGTTTACCAAGCTCTAGACTCCACTCATTTCACCTGTCAATTCACTTAATCCTCACCAATAGATTCGTGAGACATTCCTATTTTACAGCTGAGGAAACCGTCACAGAGAAGTTATATAATTTGTCAAGGTTGTGCAGCTAAAGTGTGGCAGAGATGGGGCTCAGGTCAAGCAGTGGGGCTCTGGAATGAATGCTCTGATCTTTAACATTACTAAAGATACACTATTAGAGTCACCATAAATTTTGAAAAATTTAATTTCTTGTGTTTTGCTGAACGGTTTAGAGCTCACGGCTGTTCCCTTTTCAGGCTTATGGCTTAAAATCCATGTCATTTGAGTATGGTGTAAATGATTTTGCATGGTTATTGCAAATTAATATGCAGGATAAATAAAATTGCCCAGTAAATACTTCCTGACCTATTCAGGCATCTTTAGAGATACTTCTGCCAGCATCTTTCAGAGGCAATAGCAAAATCTGTACAAGGTCTTAGATGATAAATGTGTGTGTTCCTTCATGTGAATATGAAATTGCACTGCCAGTGACCAGCCTGAACCAGGCAGGGTTATAGGCGCTTAGAACACACTCCCTGCCCTGTGGACCCATTAGCCTTTCTGGGGAGGGCAAAGACAGGTTGATTTAGCACCACAGAGGGATGTGTGAAGGGTGTGGAAAAGGCTCTGTGTGCTTCCAGAGGACTTTGGGGAATGGAATGTTCAAGGACTAGTCTGATTATTCCAGAATCCAAAGCAAGGCCTATGAAAGACATGTCTTTAGCTTTTTTCTAGAGAAAGAGATGACTTCCTTTTAGACATTGAGAAATAGCAAAGGGGTAAGCCTTTGTTTTAATTCAATTTATTGTGGCTTAATACAGTGTACTTCCTCTCAAACCAGAAGTGCATCCCAAAGTTGGAATTACTTGCCTATTGTTAGGGGAATCTCTTCTTTCTTGCTAAGTTTTCCTTCTTAGTTGTTTCTTACACACTGATTTCTTGTTTATTTAGTATTAAAGGGAATGTAATACCATTTCAATTTTACATCATTTTGTCTTTTTCTGGTTGAAAGTCTGAGAGACTTAGCAAAATGATGACAAATTTATTCACACGCTTGCATCACTAAGCTAATTATTAAAAACTAGAAGTTATTACCTGGTGATTTTTTTCTAAAGCTTAACTTGAATGTGTTGTATGTAGATATTTCTATATATTTATGTAACTAAAATATGTCAAATAATGTATTTCCAGGTTTCTTTTCATAAAAATAACTTGGTTTTGAGTGCTACATATTTTGAGTGCTAATGATGTGTCTGTTCTAAATTCGCCTGGTGCATAATATCTCGTCTCACACTTTATCAAGTATAGATGCTCTGAGTATCCCCCATCTACAGACAGAGAATCTAAGGTTTTGAAAGCATAATTTGCCCAAATTAACAGTTAGTTGGGGGAGACGAGAAACAGGACAGGCAGTATGTCACTGGAGCCTTTGCTCTTAACCTCTACCCTGGACATCCAGGCAGCAGATTCAGTCATTTCACTCCAATCTGTTGAGTACCTTCTTCTGCTAGTTATGGAATGGTACACAAAAAAACAAATTCTTGCCCTCTTGAGCTTAAATTCTAGTATGATGAGTCAGAAAATTGAGTAAACAAAATGTTTAGTATGTAAAATAATGGTAAGTACTGAGGGGGAAAAAAACCCAATTCAAAGGTCTACATTCCTGCACTGGGAGTGATCAAGAATAGACCTCACCAAGAAGGTGATATTTAGTTAATCCCTGAAAGTTGAGCCAATACTTGGAGGAGAAGGAGAGACACATTTGGATATCAGATGTGAGGATTTTCCAGGCAAGGGAGCAGCAAATGCAAAGATCCCAAGATGAGGCAGTATTGTAGGTAGGGATGTGCTTGGCCAAGAATGAGCTGTGCAGTGTGCACAGGGTCTGGGAGAGGGCATGGTGGGAGTAGATGGAGCCAATCAAGGCACGTAGGAGACAAATACCTCCTCGAACACCATCATTGTGAATTATTGATCACTTTGCAGGCATTACTAACAGTTCTTCTCACTTGGCAAGTCATTGTGGAGGAGATTGCTTTATGGATTGACTCATAAACTATGCTTGATTTGTCACCATGGAGTCTGTTATGTATGCATTCAAGATGTGTTTTGAGTGTCTGCTGTGTGCCGGGCAGTCTATATTAGATTCTGTGAATACAAACATGAATCATGCCCTTTAATAACCTCATGTGTTGGAGGGTGAAGTGAA